AAACACAATCAACAGCCTTTTTGGAGCAATGAGCGTGGGCGGTGCCATGTCAAGAACAGCTGTGAACTCAGAGTGTGGTGTCAAGAGTCCGCTCAGCGGCGCCTTTACCGCTGGGTTTATTCTGCTTACCTTGTACAAGCTTTCAGGAGCTCTGTTTTGGATCCCTAAAGCTACTCTTTCTGCAATTATCGTACGTTCGAAATGCCCCTCCTTTCTTATATCGGCGCAAGCTAACAGAATTTCACCAGATCATGGCCGTTATACACATCATTGGCCCTGTTTCCGTGTTTTACCGTTACTGGCGAATTTCGTTCATGGACTTTGTAGCTTCGATGCTCTCTTTCTGGGTCACACTTTTTGTGTCTACAGAGATGGGCATTGCTTTTGCGGTGTTGTTCAGCATAGGATACACCTTGGTTCGATCCGCATTCCCGAAGGTCAAGACGTTCTCAGCTACAAGTGGCCAGAATCGCACGATTCAGCGAGAGCAGGCGGCTGTGTCTTCTGCTGCAGAAGATACATTCGTTCCCGAAGACGCCATGCTGGTCAGTTTCACCGACTCGATCTTCTTCCCAAACGCCGGCCGCATCAAGAAGTCAGTGCTTGAGTCCGTTAAAGTACAGTTTGAACGACAAGAGGTTGGGGATCAGTCACAGAGCAAATCAGTCGATAGGTCTTGGAGTGTGGCATCGTCTAAACGCATCGAAATGTTGCGGAAGCGAGACAACGTCATGCCCTCGAGCAAGCAGATGGCTGTCATGGTCTGGGACCTGACACATGTCCCCTTTATCGACGTAACCGGAGTACAGACACTTTCCGAGTTGAAGGAGGAAGCGAAACAGCATGTAGGAAAACAGATGTCACTTAGGCTGGTAGGCATGAACAACAAAGCCCGCCGCAGATTCTCTCGCGCAGGCTGGAAGATTGTTCAAGACCGCGAGGTTGACGACTCAACTCCAGAGCACGTCGATGTTGCGTATGAGACCATAGAGGCGGCTTTATGGGATAGAGACTTTGCAGTCAGGGACGAAAAGTCAGGACTCCAGGGAAGAGCATACTACAGCCCCCGAGAAGGGTCTCCATAGCGATGAGCTGGGTGCGTAGTCAGGTGTGCAGGTTGATGCTGGGGCTCTAGAGGAGAGGCGAGCATTGTAAAAGTGCTCCTCTTTAGTGGCTGTGTCTTATCGTTCTGATTATTTCATTCTCGTTGACGAGACTTTGGGTTGCTTGCTTGGGAACTTTGGCCTTGGAAGAAACAATAAGGAGCCCTGGTGGCCCCTTGAATGAGTACAACAGAAAGCATGGCAAAAACATGATTATTGGATTCCTTCTAATTTTGTTCAATACAATCTCAAGAGATTCTAAGTCTCCAAGAAGTAATTGATCTAGTTACTAATTACTTTGCGCCCACTCATATACTTCTAACGTCACCTTGCATTACGTTTATTTCGACAAAACCCAGGTGCTTGCCGAGAACGACTAAACTACTATACTGCTTGGGCAAGTTCTTCTCCATTTCGCCGCATCATTCGCTTTCCCAGCCGCTCTTGTAGATTTTTGACCGCCGTGGCTCTGGCTGTTCGTGGTGTCTCCGGAGTTGCGGGGCGGGGGCTTTCCTCCGCTTGCTTCTTGAGATTCCTCTTACCGAGCCTGTCTTGAAGAGTTCTCACCGCTGCGGCTCGGACTGTTCTTGGTGTGGCAGGAGAAATCGGAGAGCTGGGAGACGCCGGGAGAGGTCCCTCCACCTGGGACCGCCTGGCATTTTCGGTCTCCTGCTGCTTGAGTGCACGGAGACGCCTAGCAACTTTTGACTGCATTCTAGCAGCTGCCGAGGTTCGAGGCCTGGAAAAGTTGTGCACATCGGATCTCATGGACCGGACCGTCGATGTCGGGCTTGCAGGTCGTGTAGCTAGTGCTGCTATAGACGGATGTTGGCTCGGCGGACGTGTGCTTGGCCGTGAGCTTTGCTCAGATATGACTCGACTCTCTGTCCTGTACGTAAGACGTCGCCCCTCAAGAGAACTGACACTTGATATCCTACGCCTCCGTCGTCCCTCGTTTGGCAATACATTGCTGTCAGGTCGAATGCTATTGGTAATGCCATCCGCTCTGGTTACGAGGGTTGCAATGTGTGGGAGTGAAGGAGGATGGTCAGGAGTAGCCTCAAGACCATAACGAGACGATCTAAATGTCGTCGTGGTGCGTGAACTTGCCGGCTGGCTCGCTTGCCTCATCTGTAAATGATAGTTTGCCTCCCAATCCCCATCCCGGGTCGAAGGTCTGCGCCCTACGAGTCTGTTTTCTTCTTCCATGGTCATCAATGGAGTCAGCGGCCTTCTAAATGGAATATCCAGAAATCGACCGTTGATGGGAGGTGATTGCATGCCGATAGCAGTCCATCTTCTTGAATCATACCTCCCCTGTTCTTCAAGTAGAGCCTGACTACGCGGAGAGTACTCAGCTTGCCGAGGCATGGATGGCAAAATCACTTCGCCAGGCCGTGCCGAGGCATTGGTGGATATGTCGGAATCCCCTTGTCGCATACTGGCATGTTCACGCCATGTAACCCAATCATCGAGTGCCACTCTCCCGGCTGCTTTTGGTGTCGCGCCATCCCTCGTCGGTGGCTTCCATGCAAATGCACTGGAGGACACCGGAGAGTCGGGCATCACGGCACCAGGGCGGTCCCCGAAGACAGCATTCAAGGGAGTTGGCATGGATATGCTTCTGGCATGGCGTCTAGCAATTTCGTTAGTCTTGAGTCATATTATGAACAGAAGTAAAGTTACTTACAAAGCTCTTCGCTGAGGCTCGTGAGGATTCCTTTTCGTCAGAGTCTTGCGCTTTCGCTTCTGGGGTTTGCTTGGCACACGGGGCTTTTCGGCGTGCTTCTCTATATTCTCCTGGAGGCTCGGCGTCATATAGACAACTCCCGGCTCAAGGTCGTCGTCATCATCAGGACATGCTAGTGGATCCTCGCCTCGAATGAACCAAGCTTGAGAAATGCCTAGAGTCGCGAATGGACGATCTGCCATCTCAATAACTGCAAGTACTGCTGCGAGAGAAAACCTTGTGAAGGTATTAGCTCTGACCATCTAGTCCCTTTGGATTCAATCACTCACAAGGAAGATATGCTGATTATGACATTAAGCCATGGGAGATTTTCTTGAACCCCCTTGGAAAGATCCAGTCCAATGTTTACAGCCACAAATATCGACAAAGTGATGGCTGCCACCCAAACGGGAAGACCTAGCCTAGCCAGCAAAAAGGCAAAGCCGGCAACATATTTGCCGTATTTAGTTGGAGATCCATAGTTCTTGATGTACGCTGTTCGTCCAGCGACTAAATGCGTGAAGACGTAGACGAGACTCATGCAGGAAGCAACGAAGAAAACAGCTCGGCTAAGAGGATCGAGGACCTCTGTTGACTCGAGATCCTGGAACAAGACCACAGCTGATAAAGCTATACCAGCCCCGGCCGAAATGAATAATAGTATTACCGAGAGAAGAGACAGTACGGGATACAATCGATTGGCTTTCTGAGGGGCTGTTTTTGGTGGCAATGCGAGCGGCGGCACTGAAGTCGTCGCGTCCTCATAGTGCTGACTCATTAGTACTCGATTCCATCCACACGACGCAATAGTGTTGTCCGGTGTCGCCCCGTGTTTGTAGTGAGAAGACTCGGATTGATCGGGTGCCACTGACGATCGACTTTGACTCAGCAGCGTCGGAGAGCGCGATCACACAAGGCAGTGTTGCCTGAACCCCAACGATGACATTGAAACCTTGCAAAAAACGTGATAATTCTCCGTGAGTGTGGCTTGATTTGCAGCTGGACAGCGGACGAGAGGGGTTTTGTTTGCACATGCCACATAAATTAGCTATGATTCATCTGAGTTTCTGGAGTGAGCATGACGTGTCGCCTCGTTCAGACTCGAGATCAATAGCACAATCCGAAGTTGCTGAGGTTCCATCCCCCGGCAATCTAGCCGACGCATGGATGCCGACTGAGTCTCTTTGTGTGTGATCGGTTCTCATCTGATGTTCGCACCCGCATGTGAAACAATGCGATGGCCGAAATGGCCCAAACTCACGTACAGCAAATGGGCTGCGCATAGACTTCAGAACGTTTCGGGTAGCCGGATCGAACGCTGCAACGAATGATTTCATTAATTCTTTTCGTCTCCTCCCATTTTTTCATTCAAGTCGGTCGCCTCGGTAGGGCCGTTGGTGAGACGAACCTGAAGTACCCAACACTGGGCGTCTTTTGCCCTTACTCAATTTCAATGGTTTCGAGGTTGTCTTTGATTCTGTTGACAGGGGTCACCTCGACGGGGTTCAAAACACTGCTAGACATGATTTTCCTTGCGCTAGGCTTCCTTGTAGTATAGCCCAGAGCGTCTGTTTGCCCATGGGAAAAGGCAACTCCTCCACAAGGGCATTTAATTGCAAAGGCCAAGCGTGAACCGGCTCGGCCAAGAATTGCTTCCACCGGAATGGTCTCATCACTTTTAAGCTCAGTGAGTTTAGCTACTGTGCCTCCCCGCTTGTAGGCCTGTGTTGTGTTGTTACATTGACAGTGGCCCACGTGCCTTATACAATAGGTGTATCAAGCGCGTGTCAAACCCTACCCCTAAGCTTCGACCATTGTTGTGGCATTTGGCCTTACTCTCTGCGTTGCCTTTGTGAGAACAACACGAATACCAAAAGAATTGAATTTATCTGCTTGTATTACATTGACGACGGAATAAGAAGTTGGGCCAGTGCGATCAAAGAACCACTCCCCTCCCTTGACAATCGGGTTTCCTTACAAGCCCACTCATTACGTTCTCAGCGCCCCGGGCGCGTCCTTTCCCTCTAGGTACGATAGTTTTCAAGGCAATGCCACAATGGTACATCAACAACCCAATCACCATTACATGTAGCCGGGAATGAGGCTCTCGATGATCGCCACCAACTTTCGTATCCCCATCACACTCAAAACCGCCCATTCTGGCGGCGCTAGCCTCCGTAGATAACTGACACAGTGTTCACGCTCCCGACCGCGGCCAGCGGTATCTTGTTGATCACCATTGCAGGTCTCCAAGTTTCATAGGTACACGAAGCATACGATGCCCAGAAGCCGTTGGTTGTGGCAGCTTGCCAGCTCGGATGTTAGTCTGCAGAGACTGGTGAAGTAGCTTTGGCTCACCGAGCTTAGCATCGCGCTCTTTGCGTTGCGCAACGAATTCCTCCTCGGTGATACCGTCCCGTAAGTGTTTGTTTAGCTTTCTGTGATCGCTGACTGTCATCCATGGCACTGGGCCTTCTCGATCGTCCGGGGGATAGTCATGGCCTGTCCAAACTTTGACGTGGTCTGGAAGACTAAGAAGCCTGCGGCCCGAGTGATAAAGGTTGTTGGCACTTCCCCCAGGAAAGTCACATCGAGCAGTCCCAATGTCCACGTGGAAAAGGGAGTCACCGCAGAACACATTGTCTTGTCAAGAACATCAGCAAAAGTAAATATGATACCGTGGCGTCCCAGGGGCCCTACCTCCGATCTTATAGCCCAGATGGTCAGGCGTGTGCCCGGGGAGATGAATGGCAGTCGCGCTCAGGTTACCGATGCTAAAACTCTCATCGTCTTCAAAGAGTTTGTCAAAAGCACCATGACGCTCTTGGCTGGGCACGTCATATCGTTGGCCGAATAAGTCCTGTACCTGTCCGATGCGCCGTCCGATGCCAATCTGTGGCCTGTTACCATGCTCCTCTGCGATGCGCTTCTGTAGGTACGAAGCTGCAGTGAGGTGATCTGCATGTGCATGAGTTTCTAGGATCCGCAAGACTCGGTAGCCCTTTTCTTTGACCAATCGAAGCAACTCGTCAGCTGAAGAAGTGGTGATAATTTGAGTTGTGCGGTCATAATCCAGGACTGGGTCAATGATGACCGCCGCTTTCGTCGCTGGGTCTGCAACGACGTATTGCCAGGTTCCTGTCCTTGACTCAAAGACATCGTGAATGACAGGCTGTGTGGTATCGACAGGGGCTGTGCTGTATGAGTATCTTCCGGACTGACTTATCGCATTTGAGATATTCCGCCGTTTAGAGAGGGGCGTTGCAAAGCCGCCACTTGGTAACATGGCAGGCCGACGCGCAGGGAAGGCATCTGGATGGACGGCCCTGGTTGCCCTGGTGTCATGCACAGCACGCACCTGAGTGCTGCAAGTTATTCGGATGAGTGGTGATTTTGCAATCCCTGGTGACGATAGACAGCACGACTGGACTTGTTTATTCACACACGCGCGCATGGGTGTCATTTCGAAGGTGAGTCGCGACAGTGAATATAGGAGAGAGCGAGTGGGGTTTGGCGATGCAAGCTGCTGGAGGCAATGATGCAACTAGAAGTTGGAGGATGCACAATGTAAATGGACCGAGTGGTGGGGGGTCAATCAGCCGAAACCTTTAATACTGGGAGCAACCGAAAGAAAGTTTAAACATCGAACGAGATCCCCACTGCAACCCGGCGGCTGCCCGTGCCGGTCGGGGAGTTGTAAATGAAATCGGCGACCATTCTCGCCGACTAGTCTCACCGACAAGCCGGCCGGCCGGTGCGGCTCTTTCACTGAAGGAAGCCCAACTGGATGTCAAGCCCGGGAACGAGCAAGTTTTCTTTAGCGGACGCTTACGGCTGTCGGGGGATGCTCGGCGCGGCTTGCAATCCTGACAATTTAACTCGTCTGTTGGGTCCGACAGTGGAGTGGGCCCCGCACCTCTTTTTAAGCTTCGGCGTTTTCATTTTCCAGTCGGCGCACCCCGTTTCTTTCCAGGCGCCATACTTACTTGAGTTGGCTCATCTCTGTGCTTTATCATCACGACATCTCGTGGTCCAACCCTCCCCTAAAAAGATTACCGCCATCACCTGTTCTGCAAACTTTTCACAGCACTCCTTCTTCATTTACTTCGAAATGCTTGCTAGTCGCGCGACTTTGGCATCGCGCCATGCCTGCCGCGCCCGGATTGTTGCAAAGGCTTCTGAGATTCGGAATTTCGCGACAGTAGCCCCCGTGAGCTCCGCTGCTCGGAACCACAAAGTTGTTGTCGTCGGAGGAGGCAGCGCAGGTCTGACCATTAGCCACCAGTTGTTGCGGTCCGGCCGGTTTTCTCAGGATGACATTGCTGTTGTTGATCCGGCCGAATGGCACCACTATCAGCCAGGCTGGACGCTGGTCGGCGGTGGCCTCAAGTCAAAACAAGAATTGCGGAGGCCCCTCGAGAGCCTGGTCGACCCCAAACTCAAGTTTTACCAGCAGGGAGTAAGCTCCTTCAACCCCGAGGAAAACAACATCAAGCTTGGGAATGGCGATAAACTTGGCTACGAGCAGCTCGTTGTCGCTCCTGGTATCAACATCGATTACGGCAGCGTCAAGGGCTTGCCCGAGGCTCTTGCCGACCCCGGTTCCCTTGTGTCTTCTATTTACGGCTATGACACTTGTGACAAGGTATTCGGCACTTTCGGAAGACTTCAGAAGGGAAACGCAATCTTTACCCAACCCGCCGGTGTGATCAAGTGTGCTGGCGCTCCCCAGAAGATCATGTGGCTTGCCCTCGACCACTGGAAGCGTGCCGGCCTGTATAACCCCAACGACCCTGCAAGCTCGTCCATTAAGATCAGCTTTGCCACTGGCCTTCCCACCATGTTTGGTGTCCCCAAATACAGCGCAAAGCTTGAAGAATTGCGCAAGGAAAGGGGCGTCGAGGGACTCTTTCAGCACGATCTCCTCTCCGTGGATGGTAACACAGCCACCTTCGGCCGTCCTGACGGGAAGGAAAAGGTCACAAAGCAGTTTGACCTCATGCATGTCGTCCCGAAGATGGGCCCCCATGCTTTTGTCAAGAGCAGCCCTCTCGCCGATGCTGCCGGCTATGTCAGTGTTGATCAAGCAACAACCCGACACACTAAATTCCCCAATGTCTGGTCGGCAGGTGATGCATCTAGTCTACCCACCTCTAAGACTGCTGCAGCAATCACATCTCAGGCTCCGATTCTTGTCAGCAACCTGCTGCGGTCATTGGACGGCGCCGAGCCTCAACCCTTGTACGATGGCTACACCTCTTGCCCAATTCCTACCGAGTATGGTAAACTATTGCTTGCCGAGTTCAAGTATGGTGGAGTTCCCAAGGAGACTTTTGGCGACCTTATTGGATTTGACCAAGCAGTTCCTAGACGTGCGTTTTACCACTTGAAAAAGGACTTCTTCCCGTGGGTCTACTACACCTCCATGGTCAAAGGAACTTGGGGTGGCCCCAACGGCTGGAGAAACTGATCTTCTCATTTGAGTATGTGCATTCTGTACTAGCTATGTATTCCTAGAAGTAGAGTGGCGGTAAAAGTTTGAATCCGCGCGGGTTTCTGGTCGACCTCAGACCTCTGCTGGTTGTGTGATTCGAATGCGAAATCTAATTCACTGGCTTACGTCCCCCAAAGACATGCACTATTCCATCGAGTACAAGAGGCTGTCAATATAGCGTGGTAGCTACAGTAGCACGCGGTTAGTTGGAGATGCAGAGAAGGGTAAATTGATATAGCATTCAAGGATGCGCGTAGCGGAGGTTCCTCAGAATCCGGGTCGATCTTACTCTCTGTGCCGAGTTCCATTTCATGCGCTAGCCTCGCCTTATAGTTCCCATCTCGGCAGCTGTGAAGGAATATCGATTCAACAAACCCCGCGTACTACTAGTGTGGTGCCCCGCGCTGATGTTACACTCGTATTTTCATTCGTACTCAATTTTCGTATCCATCCATTTTCGTATTACCTTATACAGCCTTCCAGAGCTCAGCAAATATAAATTCGCGTGCAAAACCACTGGTTTCGGAAATCGCTCTGACGGAGAGCCGAGCATGGCCTTATCAAGATGAAAATAATAGCTCTGGTTTATCTCCTGGTTGCGGTAGTTGAAGCCAGTTATTTCAACCCCGTACTTTCTGGCTTCCACCCCGATCCAAGCTGTGTTCATGTCGATGAGACATTCTTTTGCGTGACATCAACCTTTACATGGTTTCCTGGTGTCCCAGTCTATTCAAGCACAGATTTGCGCCACTGGACGCTTGCTAGTCATGTCCTCAATCGACGCGAGCAGCTTCCACAGCTGGAAAACGCGCCAACTGGACAAGATGGCTTGTTTGCGTCAACAATTCGCCATCACAACAAAACCTTCTATGTAACGACTACCTTCGTGTCTATCACTTCATATAAGGAATTCGCCATGCGAAACCTCATATTCTCGACAAATAATCCTTTCAACGCATCATCATGGAGCATTCCTACTGAATTCAATTTCACCGGCTACGACCCTTCTCTCTTCTTCGACGATGACAATGACACCGTCTATTTCACTGGGGCTGCTGTTTCATCTACGGGCACCGCGATTGCGCTGGCTACCATTGACATCGAAACAGGGGTTCTTGGGGATCTCTCGTACCCATGGAATGGCACCGGCCTGGGAACCGCCGAAGGTCCACACCTTTACAAGAAAGACGACTGGTACTATATCCTTGTTGCTGAAGGAGGTACTAAAGAATCTCATCGCGGCTCTGTCTCCCGTTCCCGCGCTATCTATGGTCCCTACGAGGGCAACCCAGCAAATCCAATTGTTGCCGCCGAGCACTTGAACTCATCATACATACAAACAGTTGGCCATGCTGATATCTTCCAAGATAAAGCAACCGGCCACTGGTGGGGTGTCGCATTAGCGGTGCGTTCAGGAGCCAAGTTCGAGACGTACCCCATGGGCCGAGAGACGTTCTTATTCCCGGTTTCCTGGCCAGCTGGTGATGGGCTGTGGCCTCGTCTGCTCGAACCCGTTAGAGGACAGATGATGGCATCACTTCCTGGCACATATATCAACTCCAGTGGTATACCTAGGATTGACCATGGCGTTGATGTGGTCGACTTTGCGCCTGGATCGGTCCTGCCCTCACATTGGGTGCATATCCGACACCCAAGGGAGTCAGCGTACTCGATTTCTCCCCAGGGACATGCAAATACATTACAACTTGAGCTATCATCAAGAAACTTATCGTCGGTGATTATGCCGAATAGCACTTTGACAAAGGACATCACATTTGTCGGTCGCAGGCAGACAGAAACACTCTTCTCATTCAGCGTCGATCTAGACTTTAAGCCTCAATTGCCTGGAGAAGAGGCTGGGATTTCTGTGTACCTGGACGAGAAAAGACACATTGACTTTGGTGTGACGTACAACAACGAGACAAACGGCAGCAAACTACTTCAAATTCAATCATACAGTAGCAACGAGAATGTCACCGTGCCGCAACCGGTTACTTCAGCCCTGCCACCAGAATACCAAGACCGCACGCCAATCCGCTTGGAGATTGTGGCATCGGACACGACGCATTACACATTCATGGCTGGGTTTCCGACTCTATGCAACCAGAAAGCTGTTGACATGACAATAATTGGGCATGCCGGGACAATTTTAGTGAGCGGTGGATACACGGGAGTTGTCATTGGAGTATATGGAACTACAAATGGTCAAGCTATTGAACGAAAACCAGCAGCATACGTCAGTAGATGGAGATACTCTGGTAGTGGGCAGTACATAGACTATGATCTCGTGGTATAGGATGTTCGTGTTTGTTTCTGCCAACGAATAGAGGATTACTTTTTCTTCTTTTTTGGAAGGTTAGGTAGCCTCATTACTGGGCCCATTAAACTCGGGGGGAGAGCCAATCCTGGGAATGTCATATTGTCGGACAATGCTGGACTTGGCTCTAACACCGGGCAGTAGTATCTATTATATCCTGCTTTGTTTTGCCTATCGACGCGGGTCTTCTTAACATGGCAGCACTATGTACGACAACAATGCCGCATTAAGAAGACACAAACTCCACACCAACCTGCGTACGACTTATAACCCCGGCCAAGCTGTGACCAATAACAAAAAATAGCCCCGCCAATATCGAATGTGACAAACATGCGAACTTCGGTGGTGCATCAGGCGGCTAAACTTCTATTCGCGCGGGGAAACATCCGTGCCCACTCAGCAGCCTATGGACATGGGGTTTTTTGAGTGTTTGGTGCAGAAAGGCGGCGCTGCATGCGCCAAAAAGAGGTCCAAC